TTTATGTAGTTGGGTATTGATCCCCAGTCTATTAGAGTTGAGTTTGCTATGTTATACTTAAGTACACCAATGTCAGACGCTAGCCTGGATGACGTCTGCAAGGGACCCCACTCGGGTTGGTGGGGCAAACTCGGGGAATGCATTTCACAGTTCATAACGGTCTGCTAAATACCAGCCCTTTCATATTTTCCCCCCTTTTTCTCTCCTCCTTCTCTACGCACAGCTGCTCAGGGATGGCAGCATAGAACAGCCGGGCTTGACCGATGAGTTTCGTGCAATCCGTCGAAGTACCTCTTCACGCATTCGCCTGCTGCATTTTATCATCGTGACTTTGGCAGTCACCGTGCTCGCAATCTTTCTTCCCGCCTACATCTTCATGAATGTGGAACCTGGCTGGTCATACATCGACGCGGTTTACTTTTGTTTTGTCTCCCTCACAACTATCGGTCTGGGTGATCTGGTGCCCAGTTCGCAGAGCTGGGACGGGTCCATGGCGCCCACGGTGGTGCAATCCATCTACCATTGCGTCGTCATTGGTGAGTTGCCTGCTGGAGTGCCTTTTTGCGTGTACGGTAAATATTTTTGTATTGCGTCCCCAGCAGGGGGAGGGGCGGGGATTGTGCGTCCGACCCAATAAACGGGCCAAACATTCTGTAGTCGGGGGAGTGTGCAGGTCTGACTCTTGTCTTCCGGGGTACTAGCATGTGTTCAACATGCGAGAGAAAGGGGGTCGTTAGTGAGCCGCATGACCATCCATTGTATCCGTTATCATCTCCAGTCGATTTAAGGCGGAAGATAATGGTCGATACTCGTTGATGAAAGCTCAGCTGACCGCTAACGGAACTCAATTGTCCCGCGCTGTTTTGGGCCTCGATAGTTGGCATTAGTAGGCAGATAATATTGCCGGCGAGGACAAAGGAGACTAGAATGGTCATTTCTGGCCTATTAGACGTCGTCAGCCAGTCATACGCAGGCCCTAGTGGTGTCCAACCCGAGCCTCGAGCGCGCGAACTTTTTGATATCAGAGTCCAACACGCTAACTATTGAGCCACTAGCTCGTTGTCTCGCCGGTTTAGGTCAGTGGATATTGACACTCGCTGATGAAAGCTCACCTGACCGCTAACGGAACTCATCTGTCCCGCTCTGGCAAGCGGAGCAGCTGGTATTAGTAGGCAGATACCACCAGCTGTTACGGCTGTCAGGCCTGCCCTGGTGGCTCAATAGTTAGCGTGTTGGACTCTGATATCAAAAAGTTCGCGAGCTCGAGGCTCTGGTTAGACACCGCTAGGGCCTGCGTATGACTGGCTGACGACGTCTAATAGGCCAGAAATGACCA